TGGATGGGGATGAGTTTAATAGAGAATGCTGCCACCTGCAGGAACCCATGGGTGTCTGACTCTAATGTCACTGAGTATCAAGGGCAAGACCTGGATTCTTAATCGGCTGAAGGAATGGAAGCAGAGAGTAATTGTTAGGAAAATTAGGTCAAAATGGCGGAGGTATTAAGTCGGGTGACTCAGAGATCGGTATTGGGACTCCTCTTGTTACAAAGAGAGCTTGATAGAGTATACGCATTGGCTGATGACTGGCAGATGAAGTTTAATACAGATAAACTGGCAGATGAAGTTTAATACAGATACAGCCTTGCTCAGTTGGCAGCACTCTCATCTCTGAGTCAGAAGGTCATGGCTTTAAGCCCTATGTTGGAACTTGGGAACACATTCTAGTCTAAGCTGACACTCTAATGCAGCGCTGGGGTTGCTGGAGGTGTTGTCCTTTGGATGAGACATTAAACCGAGGTCCTGTCCTTTAAAGATCCCGTGGCACTATTTGAAAAGAGAAGGGAGTTCCTCCTGGTGACCTGGCCAACAAATCCCCCAAATAAAATTGGTGACTCACTTCATGGCTGTTTGTGGGACATTGCTGTACACAACTGGCTGCTGCATTTTATTTACAAATATACAGTCAATCCACTTTACAGTAGATCCTGTGAAGTACCTTGAGATGTCTCGACGATGTGAAAGGCACTATATCAAACTCAAGGATTAGTATTTCATGCACGGTTATTCCATGTAAGAAGTAAAACTTCAAGATACATGTAATAATAATAATAATACTTGGACTTGATATAGCACCTTATCACAGCATTGAGACATCTCAAAGCAGCCAATTTTGCATCCAACAATGTCCCACAAATAACCATGAAGTGAATGAGCACTGTTATCTGGGCAATCTTTGACCAGGACACCAGGAGAAACTCCCTTGCTTTTTGGATAGTGTCATGGGATCTTTAACGTCTACTTGAACAGGCAGACACAAGCTTGGTTTAAAATCTCATTTGAAGGATGAGACCTCTGGCAATGTAACAAAGCAGACCACCAGCAGAGCACTGGAGTGTCAGTCTAGACAATGTGAGTTATGCTTTTACTACCCAACATGTCACCAGTCTATCCTGAACTTAATGAATTAATGAATCATCGCATTAAAGCTCACTGTATCTTATGTTTCCAACAAATAAAGCCTTATTATTGCTTAAGGACCAGTTCTGGCCAAATTTTTGCTTCCTTCAAATCTTTGCCCAGTATCTTTGATATCTATTGTGACCAGGGCAGAAATCTCTTGGAAATGACTTTGCTGTTGCTTGATGAAGTTGTAATGGATTATCTCATATTCTAAAGGATGCTACAGCTATCCTAGTTCAAAAAGCAATCATTAAGTCTCCATCTAAACCTTTGTGTACAAGGGACACCGATCCAAGCAATGACACTGTCTGGGAGAAAGTTGGTATGCTGTTTTGCTGCTGGTTATTTAATGCAAACATTTTGGCTTGACAAAGTTATACTTATACGGACCAAACTCCGTACCCACATTTCACCGGTTCTGGCCCAGGCTCCACTGGCTCCCCATCAATGAACGTATCAACTTCAAGATCCTTACACTCGTGTTCAAATCCCTTCACTCTCTGGCACCTCAATACCTCTCACCAATCCACCACCCACCTCTGCTCGATTGGCATTGGCTTCCTGCTTGTCCCTCTCACCCCCCACCCCACCATCGGAGGTCGCACTTTCAGCCACTATGCCCCAAAACTCTGGAATACTCTCCCTCAATCCCTCCGCCTTGCCCCCGACCCCCTTCCCCTTTTTCAAGTCCCACCTGAAAACCTTCTTCTTTAACCATGCTTACGGCCACCTCACCCCCTCCCCCCACCCGCCCCGGGGTCGGAGTCAGGCTGTTAAGCGCTCTGAGACTCTACCCTGTGTGGAGGGTGCTATATAAGCGCAAGTTGTTGTTTTTGCCTTTTTTTATAATTGTTGTAATTATAAAAAAACATAAAATTGATTTAACATTAAATAAGTGGAGTTCGGAAAGCAGTTATGCTTTGTCAGTCTGTTTTTTTGTAGTAGAATGTTGGAGTTGTAACTTGTGCTGCTACACAGTGGTGGGATGCAAATGTTATTTCCCCCACTTGATGATGTTGAAATCCAGATGCATCATATTGGACTATAATTGCATTGTGTTGAAATGCAGTTCTTGATATCAACATGGAAGTGTTGGCTCAAGTGTTACATTAATTGTTACAAAGAGCTGAGAGTGGGATCGCTTAAATATTGTGGAAGAGTGGATTATGTGATGGGGAAGGTCGCCCTCATCAAGCCCATTGGTTAGAAAGCAATTTGCTTTGAATCACGTTTAAAAAGAAATGTTCTTCCATTGAGCTTGAGGAACTCTGTTTCCTTAGGTGAGGCAAACAGCATGATTTTGGCCAGGTATTGGAGTCACATTGCTCTTGTTCATGTTTCTCGTAGGCCATCTGACTTATTCATGAAAGTTGAAAGGTACTTAATTATTTATTGGACAAAACCCAATTGTGGATTAAATGTACTTTGGCATGCTATCCCACCCAGCTACTGTTCTATATTTAATATCAAGAATGTAACATTTAATGACTTGATTGCAGCTTTACCAGAATTTCCATTCTTTTTGCAAGGCATACTTGAAATTTTAGCTTTGCTTTGTAAAATTATCTTAAACCCAGTTGTAATTAAATTAAAAAAAAACATAAACTGATTGAACATTAAATAAGTGGAGTTCGGAAAGCAGTTATGCATTGTCAGTCTTCACTCGTTTTTTTCTGTAACAGAATGTTGGAGCTCTAACTTGTGCTGCCACTCAGTGGTGGGATGCAGATGTGATTTCTTCACTTGATATCAGTCTGATTGCTGTAAAGCAGCACCCAACTAGGTCAGGTGCCTCTCTACACAGCAGTCATCTATAATCAACATTGATGGAGGAAAACATCTCTGTAGTCTCAGCTGTAGTCAAGGTCTGACTGAGCAATATTGGTAGGTGGAGGGATGTCTACCCTCAAAATGCAGCATGAGATACTTTCACCCAAAATCTCTTGAACCAGGTCAACATTCTGGACCACATAATCTACCCCTATAATAAACTCACAAGCTATAACAAGTATTCTATTGATGTTATTTGGTAACACAGTTTCTGGAAATATTAAAGAAATTAATCAGCTTGTCTCATGTGGTTGATCACTTGCCTGTGATCAGGAAGGTTATGGGTTTGAGTCATGTGTTTAGGACTTTTGAGCCTGTGGTCTCGGCTAATACTCCGAGTTTTGGGGGAGCACTGTCCGCGGTGCTTCCCTTCAGGTGAGACATTGGACCAAAGTTTTGTCTGCCTGTTCAGTGACACATGGCACGATTCAAAAACAGAAGGGAGTGCCTCTCAGTGTTGGCACATATCCCAGCAAGACTGGGAAGAAAATTACCTTTACCCCCTCAAAAATGTCATATTTAGTGAGCATTCATTAGCAATGATCTGTAAAAGTATCTGTATTAGTTCCACTCCCATTATCAATAATACAGCAGCACAAATAAAACCTTTGAAATCTTTGGTCATACAGCACCCTCTGGTGGCATTGCATCAAGTGTGTATCCCATAATGTTGATGTTATATGTAAAATAAAATGTATCAGACTGAAGTTTTGTAGTTTAAATGCCACGAAAATGCAACAAATGACAACTAAACACCTGATGAGGACTGTAATTCTCAGAAAAGTAGCAATAACATGTTTCCATCTTTATTTTCAATGTTAAATTCAACTTTCATATGTATGCAGATGAAACCCAATTCTATCTTTCTGCCTCCACCCTCAACTCCAGGACCACTGCTGTCCTGACTGACTGCCTGTCGGTCATCAAGTCCTGGATGAGGGCAAACTTCCTGAACAAGACTGAGGCCCTCCTGATCGGCTCGCGCCAGCACCTCTGCACCTCAGGCTCTGGTAGCATCAACCTGAATAGTTGCACACTACAACTCACCAAGCCGGTCAGGAACCTGGGTGTCTTGTTCGACCATCAACTGTCTTTTCTTCCCCACATTCAAGCCATGACCCGCTCTGCCTTCCTCACCTCCTTAACTCGCCCGACTTCACCACTACCTCACCCCTCAGACCGCTGAAACTCTTGTTCATGCCTTCATCACCTCCAGGCCTGCTTGTCGGTCTTCCCAACTCCTCTCTCCACAGGCTGCAGATAATCCAGAACTCTGCAGCCCGTGTCCTCTCCCGCACCAAACTCCGCGACCCCATCTCCCCCATTCTTGCCCGACTCCACTGGCTCCCTGTCCTTCAGAGGATCCAGTTCAAGATCCTGGTCCTCACCTACAAAGCCCCCAATGGCCTCTCCCCACCCTACCTCTGTGACCTCCTAACCCCCCCTACCAACCCGCCCGCTCCCTCCGCTCAGCCGGCTCCGGCCGGCTCCACGTCCCCCGACCCACCCGCCCCACCATTGGCGGGAGAGCCTTCAGCCACTCTGCCCCCAACCTCTGGAACTCCATCCCCCCCCCATGAGCGAGGGACCAGGCGGACCTGCAGTATGGGCAGCTCACGTGGTTCGGCTCTTTAAATTTTCCCGCGGTCGGAGGGCGGGGCGGGGCTGTGACGTAAGACGCCGCGTGAATGGACGGGAGGAGTACAACGGCCAAGCGCGCGTCATGCGCACATCACGCGCATGCGCACGTCGGATCAGCTCAGCGCGGGCGAAGCGGCGGGAAGGCGAGGGGTGACGTGAGCCAACGGTTTTTATTTCAAAATGTAATGACGGCGACATGAGGAAAGGCTCGCGGCCGCCGGGAAAGGCCCTCCCGGAGCCACCGGGTCGAGATAACGGAAGCCAGAGGGAGGGAGGAAGGGCGTTGGGTTAACGTTATGGTTTAATTCGACGCCCCCTCACCCCCCCCCACCCCCCCCCTTTACTGAGCGCGTGAAGGCGGCCGCGAGCCACTGTTCACACTCCCCACCGACCCCACCCCCACCACCCGGGGACAGGCCGCGGGGGAGGGAGAATGTCGGAGAGCTTCCTCATGACTTTCATCAAAGGGAAATGCGAAGGGAGGCCGAGGAAATCCGACACCGTGATCGAGAAGGAAGAGGAGGAGGAGGAAAAGAAGCGCGAGGAAACGAAAACTAAGGAAAAGGGAAGCCAGGGGACCTCCGGCGCCCCGCCCCAGCCTGGGCCAGGTAGGCATCACTTTTTGCATCACTTTTATTCGAGAAGAGGGAGGGAGAGGGGTGGGGGGGGTTGTCTCCCCCCCCCCCCCGTGTCCTGGCCAGACAAGTCTCCGAATTAAATTGGGTCACTTCACTCACGCCGCTGTTTGCCGGAGAGTGCTGTTCTGAGCGCTCTGAGACGCCGTCCGGCGTGGAGGGCGCTGTGTAAAACCAAGTTGTTGTTGTTGTTGTTGTTCTTGTTCGCAATTGGCTGCCGCGTTTCGCCTGCGAAACACACAGCCGATCCACTCGACAGCAATATCCTGTGAGACGCTTCCCGACGTGTTGACGATGTGACAAGGCACTATATCAAATGCAAGGATTAGTGCTATCATCATTATTATTACTTTGAGCCAGTGAGTGTTATGTGCTGGATTCCCCTTCGCCCCTCCCTCCCACCTGCCTTTGGTTTATTTCCAGGCAGAGGGCGAAACTTTCCTTACTCCACACAGAGCCTAATAATAATCCCTCCAAAAAACAAAAACAATAATTAAATTGGTCATTTTCAATCTACGACTGTTTGTGGGACATTGCTGTGCGCAATTGGCTGCCGCGTTCGCCCACAAATATACAGTCAATTCACTTTACAGTGTGTTCTGTGAAGCGCTTTGGGACGTCCTCCCGACGTGAAAAGCGCTATATCAAATGCAAGGATTATTATTATTATTATGTGTCCCTACAAAATGTAATTTTGCATTGTACCTGATCTCTTTTCCTGGTGTCTGTCCGGCTGGATTCTCGGGTTACCATTGAAATGAGTGTGAACAGAGAGAGGGTGGCGAGGATGTGGTACTCGCTGCCGGAAGCTTCGGTTGAAGCAAACAAGCGTCGACGTATTTAACAGGAAACTCGATGCACAGGGAGAAGGGAAGACAAAACGCAAAATACTGCCGATGCTGGACTCTGGAACAAAAACAGAGGGAGCTGGGAAAACTCAGCAGGTCAGGCAGCATCTATAGAGAAAGGAAAGCGAGTCAACGTTTCGGGTCCACGACCCTTCATCAAGGAAGACAATTGGGTTAGGAGCGGTGGAACTGTTGTCTGAGGACAGATCAATCATTTCTCTATTTTATCTGTTCAAATTATCGAATCTTTAAGTTATGTGTTTGTTGGATGTCTGGAAAAGAATTCCCAATCCACTTTTACTCATTTTTAGAATTCCAACGGATATCAGAGTTGCGTATTATATATTGCTTCGTTTGGTATCTTTTGAAATATTCAATGGCTCAAACTCAAAAATTTCCTCTAGCCTAAATGCTGTGTTGATAATGCATGTATGCATTTCCTGCTCGACCGTCCCATTGCCTCCCTCTGCTCCAGCATGCAAATTCTCCGTTGGGCCCACCGTGGGAGTCGCCGCTGGTTGTCTACCAGAAGCCATTCTAACTACCTTATCTCCTACTCTCGCCGCAGAGCTCACCGGTCCCCGACCACAGAGGCCAACCTCTCCTCCCTGATCCACATCCCTCCCCTCCTCAGAACCACCCCCCCCCCCGCCTTACCCCTCACTTTCTGCTACCAACTGTCCCCTCCGCATCGGTCTACAAAATGTCTGTTCCCTCTTCAACAAAACACACATCATCCAAGACTCATCGTTGATGAACACATCGACATGCTCGTCCTCACTGAAACCTGGATCACTCCAGGTGATACCTTCTTCCTGAATGAAGCCACGCCGCCCGGCTATACCTTCCATCACACCCCTCGGCCTAACCCCCGTGGTGGCAGCGGTGGCTCTCATCTTCCGGTCCCCGCTCGGCCTATCCCCATATTCCTCTAGAACCTTTCCTCCTTTGAGCACCTTACCCTCTATCACCCCTCCAACCTTTCCCTCAAAATTATCCTCATCTACCGCCCCCCCAAGCCCTCCCCCACCTTCATTCCTGACATCTCCACCCTTCTATCTTCCCTCTCCCTTTGCTCTGAACGCCTCCTCATTATGACGATTTCAACCTTCAGCCCCTCCTGCTCTACCTCTGCTGACTTTTCCTCCTTTATCTCCTCCTTCAATCTCTCCCTCCACATCCACTCTGCCACTACTTCCGCAGTCACCCCCTTGACCTTGACTCGGGGCCTCACCGTCTCGGACCTCACTATCATCAACAAAGCGATCTCGGACCATCACTTCATCTCCCTTAACTCCTCAATCCCTCTCCCCACTGCCACCAACCCACCTCCATCTCATACCACCCTGGAAACAAATCTCCCCCCTACTCCCTCTCGGCTGCCTGGAGTCATCTGAACTCTTCCCCTCTGGGCGTCCTCCCACACTGACCTATCCTCGCTCACCCTTCTTCACAGCTCCCTCTCCTCTATTCTTGATTCCCTCGCTCCCCTCTCTTCCCGAACCGTCTCCTACTCATGCAAGTCACCCTGGTACACCAGTCACTTCCGCTCCCTTAAAGCCCAGGTGCGTTTTACTGAGCGAACCTGGCTTAAATCAAACCTAACTGTCCACCGGCAGATTTGGCTGGACCATGTCGAATCCTACCGCTTCGCCCTCGCAACCGCGAAATCGTTGTTCTATTCCAAGACAATCTTGGAGGCTAAGGACAATCCTAGGCTCCTCTTCTCCATCTCGAACCAACTCCTCCACCCACCCTCTCACATCTCACCCATCCTCACCTCAAATGCCAACTGCGAGATGATATTGGACTTACTTGAATCTAAAGTTGAGGAAATCCGCTCAACTGCCTCTGCCACTACAACTAGTACCCCTCCCCATCTCCTCCTCCCACCCCAGCCCCTACCCACCCCTCCCTCGACACCTTTGAACTTGTCTCCCCCTCCTCTCTCATCACCACCATAACCCGTAGGACACCCACCACCTGCTCCCTGGATCCCATCCCTACCCTCTCCTTATCTTCCAGCTCCACCTCCTTGCCCCTCTACACACTGACATTGTTAAACCTCCGTGTCCTCTGGTACTGTTTCCACCCCTTTAAAAACTGCTGTCATCATTCCTATCCTTAAAAAAACCCTCCCTGGACCCTTCTCTGTCCTTGGGACGGCCTCCCGATGTGACAGGCGCTATACAACTGCAATCTTGCTGTTGTTTTCTACTCTCTAACTACCGCTCCATCTCCAACCTCCCCTTCCTCCCCAAGGTCCTGGAACGAGTTGTTGCTTCTCAGCTTCACTCCTTCCCCTTCACGAACCCCTCCAATCGGGTTTCCATGTCGCCCACAGCACAGAAACCACCCTGGTCAAAGTGACAAATGACAATCTGCCACATCTGCAACCAGGGCTCCCTCTGCCTCCTTGTCCTCCTTGATCTCTCTGCTGCTTTCGACACCGTCGACCACTCTAGCCTCAGCCACCGCCTCTCTCACCTCAACCTCCACGGCGCTGTTCTTGATTGGTTCAGATTGTACCTCTCAAACCGCCTGCACTTCATCTCCTCAAATGGCTTTTCCTCTAGCCCCCGGACTGTCTCCTGCAGCATTCCTCAGTGCTCTGTCCTTGGTCTCCTCCTCTTCAACATCTATGTGCTCCCCCTTCTTGACATCATCCACAGACATGGAGTCAACTTCTACGTGACACTCAACTCTACCTCTCTGCCTTCATCTGTGACTCTAGGCTTGTCGGCCTCCCCAGCTCCTCCCTCCACAGGCTGCAGATCATCCAGAACTCTGCAGCCCTCTCCCACACCAGGCTCCGTGACCTTATCACCCCCATCCTTGCCCAACTCCACTGGCTTCCCATCACACAGAGGATACAGTTCAAGATCCTGGTACTCACCTTCAAAGTCCTCCATTGTCTTGCTCCCCTCTGCCTCACCGACCGCCTCACCCCCTACCATCTTGTTTTCTCCCTCTGCTCAGTGGGCTCTGGCCTGCCTTGTTCGCCCCACTATCGGCGGGCAGGCCTTCCGCCACTCTGCACCCAACCTCTGGAACTCCATCCAGCAGTCCCTCCTTCTCGCCCCCTCCCTCGCCACCTTCAGGACCCACCTCAAGACACTCCTCTTTGACCATGCTTTCGATCTCCCTACTTCCTCCTCTGCCAACCCCCAACCCTCAGCTCGGGTCCGAAACTGTCTGTCCAGTGCCTTGGGATGTCCTACCGATGTGAAAGGCGCTATATAAATGTAATGTTGTATGTTGGTTTGACAAACGTGCAGTGAAAATGGAAGTTAAGTCACTGGAAATTACACACTGTGGAGTAGGTGGGATGCAGCAGTCTGCTCTATTTGCTCATGATCTGATGAAACTGAGATGGATAATTTTTTTAATGCTATTAAAGAGCCTACAGTATTAAAAATAACACAGATCATTAATGTTTGTGGGATGTGATTGTGGGAGGAAAGTATAATCAGACCACTCATTCTAATTTACTTTGCTCCCGGCAGTATAAAATGAATAGGCGTTCCTGAGTGAGAAAGCGACTTGACTTGTTGACTTTCAGCTGAACTGAGTTTCGGTAAAAACCATAGACTGCTGTAGTCATTTGGCATCTTAATTTGTTTGCCATTTTATTAAATTGTGGTTGCCTTCCCCCCAGGAGAATGTGCATTTCATTCCAGCAATCTATCTATGGGATTTCCATGTGTAGGTGGGATGCATGGAGATCTCAGCTTGGTTTGGATAAGCTTAAGCAATTGTGATGAGTTTCCACATATGGCTGACCAAAAAAAATTAGATTGATAGCAGATCTTTTAATCTTGTTCCCCATCTTTTCTTCATATCCCTTAAAACCTTTATTTCCTAAGTAGCTTGATTATTACTGTTTGCGTCAACACTTAACTAAATTTTTACAGCTGTAGATTATGTTTATATGTCTAGACTTCAAAACTTCTGCAAAAGGGTTGGTTATTGCCTCATTAAATATTAGGCAGTTTTAGAGAATTGTATTTAATGCAACCATTCAATTTTAGAGGGAAATGTTTTTTTTGCAAATTACTTGAACATTGAATAATTTGTCAATTATTTAGGTGTATTTGGTGGCTAGGACGTGCCAAGTACCTATGA